ATTAGCACATCATGGCTTTTAAAACATTGAGCCACTAAAAAGAGTCATCGATCTTGTATTTACATTGCATTATTAATCCATTTTTATCTTTATCAATATAACAGATACTAAAACAAAATGAACGATTTTGAAGCCTAAAAAATATTATTATCATAATCACAAAATTAAGAGGTAAATATTTTTGTAAGCAAGTGAATATAGTAAATATACAACAAAAGAATGTAGATCAAAATAAAACCAAAGCTCAATGAGTTTAAATACACTTCTTTTGTTAATTTTAATACTTCATTATTAGCGTTGAAATGTTTAATTGATTGGTAGCCGTTCTCGGTTCTCTTTTTCTTGATAGTTGGTGTTGATAGTTTTGGTTATGGTCAATGTTGAAATTTCAGTGTGTATAATAGATTGTATAGATGGCGTAAATGAATTTCCTATACTGTGAGGATACCTGGTCGTAATTACTTATCATAGATGTTGCAACCAATGATTGCAACCATCATCAAAAACTTGCAAACAGTTGAAATTCTTTTTCTCAGGAAGCCTTTAAGTCAAACTTCAGTCTGGTGATTTTCATATGGTGAAATTTGGGTTAAATTTAATCCTGTCCGAATTCATCCTAATAGTTCTACCTGAAGATATCCCAAATTCATCCTGAACAAAGAACTTCGATCAGTGATCCTTGATAATTTTATTAATATCCACTATATCAAGATTTACTATGTAACACTCCAGGGATTATGAAATTGAACAAAAGAGAGACTTTAAAAGGCGCTCAAAGTTGCATCGTAATAAAGTTCCATAACCCTCTGCCCCACTCTAAAACTTTGCTTGCATAAAAACTTATCTGACCAGAGGTTAAGATTACCAAATGATTAGAATGGGTATAGTATCCATGTATCAGATATCTGTAGTGTCATTATCATCTTCAAATTAAATATAAAATGGATCGTGATCTAAAAGATCTTGACCAGTATCATTTATATCAATGAAATTGGTGTTAGGTTCAAGCATGTCTGGAATGGATAAATGGATGATAGATCGATTGATAAAAAACTCCAGTTCAAAAACTTGATAGATAGATGTGGATGCTTGACAAAAAGAAAATATTTAATATTAATGTGTGCTTCTAGGATCCCCTATCACATGATTACATGGGACTGCGCACTAATATAAGTGTGTTTCCCACCTTTGTTAAAATTAAAGAGATACTAATGATATATGATAATGCTGCAACCATCACATCACCAACATCCGCTTGTTCTTTGATAATGAATTAATTACCTTCTTCTATCAACATTCCTTTTTTATTTACTTACTGATTGATAATCATTATATTGTTATTTATTCATCCAAAAAAAGGTCCAATTGACAACAAAAAATAGGATACAAAGGACAAAATAAAACCAACAAGCAAAGGAACGAAGATCTTATCAAGTAGGCTTTATTTGAAAAGTATTATTGGATTTATTAACTTGCATAACAAGTAAACCTTATTACACTAAATCAGGAAGATCTAAATCCTCCCTATAGCTAATTGTGGCTTCATAGTTGCTGCTGCTGCCACCAGCTAGACATATCCTGCCACAGTTAAAATGGCAGCAGAGAGGTCAGTAAGTCCCCCTTATAAATGGATCAGGTCTCTCTCCATAAGTGTTTGTGTGCAAAAAAATGTTCCTTATGTTACAGGCAGCATTAACATCTCGATTCCAATGTGTCAGACAGACTGATTTGCAGACTCTAACAGACCAGAATTTTTGATGCTTATCAAACCACCCATCACACAAAGAACAGACTGAGTAAGTACAGAACTCATCAATGTTCACCACCCTGCAAAGCTCCTGGTGAAATACCTTTACAGGGCCTGGAGCATGCCCACATGATGTTGATGAGAATTTACCATCACCAAATGCAACAACCGTACTGTCATCATTGCTATTTGTTATTATCTTGCACAGAATATCAAAGGCCTTCTGTTTATTAATAAAAGATTTCCATCACAACTGACACCGGTGACACTCACAATAAAAATCAAGAATTATATCAAGATAAAACAGAATGTAAGCAAGGTAAGAGCCATATTCATAGACATTGATGACACCAGAGGTTGGAATATCTAGATTTTGTATTAGTATTAGGCAAAAGGTATGTAAGTAATATTATTCAATGATATTCTTGTTTAACAGCAAATTAAATTAACAAAGTATAGTTCACCTTGAATAGCAGCCTGAAGATATTTATTTTTTTCCAACCACAACTCATGTTTTTTACAAGCACAAACAAACCCTGCTAAGTTCCAGTACTCCTTGTTGGAACAGCTCACAACTTTTTCATCTGAACTCACTGCTGTAAACAGATCTTTTCTTCCAGGATCCAGTCCAAATACTTTGCATCCATTTAAATCAATATTTAATCCTTCATCAACATCCTCTTTATCATCACCAACTTTCTTCTGCAGACCAACTGATACTGCAAGACCATCAGTTTGTATGGAGTAAGCAAAGATTCGATTTTGGGTGGTGACTTTATTAATATTAAATGCTTCCATCCACCAAATTT